TTCATTTTTTTTCCTTTTTGAATCACTTTCCTTGCACCACTTTGTTCCTGTTTCATACAAAGAAAAATTTATTAGTTTGAAAATGGTGGTCGGTTTGTGGCCTTGAGTCTTGGGCAGCTTGGCTTCTGCTCAATCAGCTTGAGTCGGTGTCAAAAGACTTTTGTTCTGCACCAACTCTGATTGTTTCACACCAGTACCATTTGTATTTGCAACTCAAACAGCCTTATTCCAATTGGAGATCTTTGCATAGGTGACCTTTTCCGATATCTTGAATGACTTCCTTCTTTTGAGCAATTTGTCTGTTGGAGAGAATCACCAGTTATCTTTACTTGCGCCAAGTAGGCTGACAAGAGTCTTTAGGGGGAGCCTTTGCATGAATCCTCAAGGCATGTTGACAGTAATAACTGAGTGTGCTGACCAAATTCACTTTGTGCAACTAAAAAGCTGGTAGCAGTTTTGAAATCTTTTCTTGTTTGTTTTGACAAGTACTGACTCAGAGTGGAGGACACATTGGTGCAATGAAACAAGTATTAACAAGAAATGCCCCTGTCGGAAGGACAGAAGGAAGAATTTTTTTTCTTTTTTTTCAATAACTAGCCTTAATGATCATGGCATGCATTTTGGACTTAACGGCCGATCTATCAAACTAACCAAATCTTCCCTTTTACCATTCTTATGATCTTTGAAGTCGGGCCTATCCGTGCCAATCCTTTGCATCAGCTTCACGACTCACTTTCGATTAATGGTGCCCCGAGAAATTTTCACCAACAAGCCTCTCTCATTTATTCATCTCTACTTACCGTCTCCTTACTGTGCCCGTGAAGGTTTTCACTAATAAGACTCTCTCATTTTTCTTTTTCTTTTCTTTCCCTCTTTTTTGTAAGCAACTCGACGATGTTCTACGTCGTGTGACAACTATTATTCATTGATTGCGTCTCTTGGCATTCTTGAAGGCATATTGGGAGGTCTTTATTTGGAAGGTTTTTGGATAGGGTTGGAAAGAAAGGTCGACATGAAGGCTCAAAATAAACTCAAAATGAGGGGTTGTAGACTTACAACTCTTGGAATCGACTCTTTCAAAAATGAAATAAAATCTTTGCTCCAGTTTCAGATGCTGGGGATTTTTGGATTTTTTCTATTTTTTTCTTTTTCTTCTAAATTCTTATTTGGTTGGACCGAACTGTGAGGCTGCCTACGTATCCTTATTTTAAAGGAATCAGGTCTAACGTAGTTCAAACATCTGACCTAACTAAATTTTTTTTCATTTTTCTTTCTGTTGTTTTTTTTTCTTTTCTTTTCTTTTCTTTTTGTTTTCAAAACAAGTTGCCCCAGCTTCTATTTTTTTAAGGGCATGGACCTTTGAAATTTTTTTTTTTTCACTTGAACTTTCTAAGAATTACCCCAGTTTGTACTCTTGGGACATGATTTATTTATTTTTTTCATGTTTTTTTGACTCTTGACTCTAAACTTGATTCCAAAAGAGGGTGGTCAAAGAAAATAACACAAGTTCAAAAGGGTTAACAAAGGGTATAAAGTGCTTGGATAGCAAAATAAGGGCCTCCCAACCTCCAGGATGTCAAATATGGTATCTTTTCGCGATCACAGCATTGACGAACATGTTTGTCTTCTTGGTGTGTCGTGGTCACAAGAAACTTTCCATCCCTTAATGTTAAACTTTCCAACAAACTTCAATTGATTCTTCCTCAACCCGATCTTCACAATGATTTTGAAGGTAAAGATTCTTAACCTCCATGGATATGACTTCTAGTTCCACTTGAATTTTACTCGGGCATAATACCAAGGTATTTCAACTCTTTTTTATCCTCGAAACTATCTTTTTCTCAGGTTTCCAATTCAAGATTAAATCAATTTTCTAAGATCTAGCCAAAAATTCCACATGCATGTCATGTCACTAGAACTAGCATGAAAAGAACTATGCACAAAATGGATACAAAGTGACTGTTTTTTTTTAATAAAGGAAAGCAAGGTCCTATAACACAAAAAGAAGAAGAAAAGATGGCAAAATAAGCTACCATGGCTAAAAGAGGAGTGACTCTCCAGTTATTAAGCGACATCTTAGCTAAAAATTTGCACATCAACATTACTATGGCCCTTAACTATTTTGATTGTTTTGGACTCAGTACTCAAATTTTGATGATCATCCGAGTAGGTCATGCCCTATTGCTCAAATCTGGTATAGTCACCCCACATTTGCCTCCATTTTCGATTTTTCACCGCCAATATGCCTACTTGCCTTTTTCTGACCTTGGATCAACAACAATTGTGCTCAACAATGCCTTTTCCGAGAGATCTTGGATTGTTTTTTTGTCTTGCCATTGCAAACCAACAAACCGACCACCTTTGACCAGCTTTTATTCCAAAACAACAAACATGTTAGAATAAACACTCTCTTTCTTTCTTTCTATTTTCCTTTTTTCTCTTTTTTTGTTTCTTTTTTTTCAAAATCATTCGATCGAACCTGATGTAGGTTGCCTACGTATCATGTGGGAACATGAATCAGATCTTGTGTAGTTCGGGAAGAATGAGAATAAAGTAAATAAACTAACTCTTTTTTTTGGAAATTTGTTTTTTTTTCGAAAGAAATACTTACAAAGAAGAAAGAAAATATTTTTGGATTTCAATTTATTTTTTTTAAGGATTTTTGAAAAGAAAGACTTCTAAAGTAGAGAAAAATATTTTCTTGAATTTTAACTTCTTTTTCTTTTCTTTTTTTTTCTGAAAATTTTGAAAGAAAAACTTCTAAAGAAGAAAGGAAATATTTTGGGACTTTTACTTTGAATTTATGAAAGAAATACTACAAAAGAAAAGAGAATATTTTTTTTGAATTTGCAAATAAATATTTTTGGATTTTGAGAGAGATTAGAAGAAAATATTTTTGTATTTATTTTTTTTTTTTAAAAATGGGGTCTAAAAGAAAGACTTTCTAAAGAAAGAAGTAAATGAAAATATTTTTTGGATTTATTTTTAAAAATGGTGTCTAAAAAAAGACTTTTCTAGAGAGGAAGTAAAGGAATTTTTTTTTGGATTTTTTTGAAAATTATGGGTCGGAACCGATGAGATTTGCCTACGTATCTCACATCCGGTGAGAATCAGACCCGCGTAGTTCGCCCAGTTTTGACGAAACATGAAAACATGACACTTAAAAATTTTGGCTCAGTTTGAAATGACTTTTTTTTCCAGAATGTTGGTAGATTTTCAGAATTTTCTAAATACCTACCTCACTTTTTGTTTCTTTGCTCTTCTTTCTTTTTTTTTAATTTTCTTTTTTCTCTTTTTTTTTTCATTTCCTTTCCCTGTTCTAGAAGCCAGTCAACATGCAAACCGAAACAGACAGATACGCAAGTAGCACGTAAGATGCATCAAGATGGTCTTTTGACTTTTGGGTACACCTGTCCTAGACAGACCCAACCCTTGTGTTGAGTCCCCAAAGTCAAATGCACATGATGCAAACAAGCATTCCTACTAGGGATCCGGCATGAAGCTGAGTTGTTCTAGGTTTAAAATCTGGGTGTATTGTTCTAGACCTGGCTTACCCGAGCGGACAACTCGAGCCGAGGGGGGCAGCATACCAGTAAGATCATTCGGCTTTGCAACTTGTCCGAACCTCGTTCTATTTGGGATATGACACTAACAGAAAGAAGTCACGCCAGCGTGCACTCCTCAGAAGAGAGAAGAGAGGGGTTTCGTAGCAGTTTATATACAGTTCAAATAATATCAAAGCGGTAAAAAAATAACATTTAGCACATTAGGCCCAAACATGTAATAAAATCAGATAATAAATATAGCCAAATATAACAATTATTCTAAGCTCGAATTTTTGAGCCCTGAACCAGAGATTCTGGGTTCTTATCCCCAACAGAGTCACCAGAGCTATCACACCTCCTTTTTCCTAAACTCCGCAGGGTATAAGGGAGTTTTTTCCAACTTAAAGTGACAATCGAAACAGTATTATTTATTTATTAAAATCAGAGTCGCCACTTGGGATAATTTTATGGTGTCCCAAGTCACCAGTTCGAATCCCGAGTCGAGGAAAAGATTGACTCTGTATTACAATCCGCGAACACAGAAATTCGGGTAAGGAATTTTGTTAACCCGGGAGAAGGTATTAGGCATTCCCGAGTTCTGTGGTTCTAGCACGGTCGCTCAACTATTATAATTGGCCTATTATCTTATTTTAGTAAATGTTTTAGCCTATAGTGCAATTTTAAACTTTATAACCGCTTTTATTTAATTTTTTTATTTTAGGAGGATTTCAACGTTATTAAAAACATGTCTTGAACTACGTCACATAAATGCACTCGTGGTCCACGACACATTTTATCTAATGTTATTAAGTTTTGGATTTGGGTCACATAAATGCACACCTGAGTTTAGGAAAGTAGTTTTTAAATAGCACGCCTATAGCAACTACGCTCTTTTAACTTTGCGAGGGCCATGAAAATTCAACTAAATGGCACACCTCGATTTCTAATGATTAAAATTACTTAAGTGAGGGCCATGCGTTTTGAGATTTTATTTGGCACGACACGCCTCAAATTATTTCAAAGGGCTTTATTATTCGAAGTTGTTATAATCGGGTTACATGAAATGCATCCCCCGAATTGAGATTTACGTATCATGACCACACCACGGGAACCGTACCCGTGATCACGATAATTTATTAATCGCGCCTAAAGCAACTAGCGCATTTAATTATTTTCCTTATCTTTTAGATTGTTGTGATGCCAAATTTATGGACAAGATGTTACTACTAACGAATTTTTCTTCTCTAAACTTAGAGATACAAGATCAATTTTATCACTAAGTAATAGAACAATTATTTACAATTACTTTGGGGGGAAACGTGGGCTAACCTGCTACACACAAAGTCACAATTCATTTGTCTTTTTAAAAAATGCACAAGCAAACAATTAAAATAAACACAAACAGAATAATGAAAAGACTAAATCATTTAAAAGGAATACAATATATCCAAACAAACAAATCAGTAATCCAAAGAAAGCATATCGATAATGGCGTAACAATAGTGCCATGAATCACTACACAAACCAACACTCCTGAGGCATTTAATGATGCCAATGTCTTTCATATCATTTAACAGTTTAATAGCAAAGACCAAGAAACGTGAGAAACGGACCTCTATGAACTCAGGTTTGAAATGAAGCTCGATAACGAAATTTCGAATTACAGAAATCTCGCCGGAGACCTCGACGGATTTTCGGATCTCGAACAGCAACTCCAACGTTTGAAATCAAAAAAAAACTAAAGAATGGACTAACTTCTCATTATATATTCTGAATTTGAAATCAAATATGAACCAACCCAAATGAAATCAAACGCCAAAACCACCATTTTCTTTAGCTAATTTTCTGCCCAGATTTTCTCTTTTATTTTTTTCCGATTCTTATGTGTGTGTTAGTTACTCTTCTTTTCTTGTGTTTGAGGTGGCTGATGGGAGGTGAAAGAAAAGGGGTGATGTTGGATCTGTTTTGTGTTAAGCCAAAGCCATAGAAATGTTGCTTTGTTTTCCCAGAAGAAAAAACGATCGAGGAGGGGGGTCTGGTTTGAGGAAGACGACGACAAGAAGAGGGATGGGGTCCGGTCTGCCAAGCTCCAAAAACGGTGCTGTTGCTCTCTCAAAATCAGAGAATGAAAATGATCAAAATTTTCGGAGGTTAGCAATTCCGTATATCTCTTGCGGCGCTGCTCATTGTTTTATGCCTAGGGATCTAGATTTCAATTATTTTTGTTGCCTTTCTTTTTGGATGATTGTCCTTTTGTCTATCTTTTTTCTTTGTGTTTTTAGCTCTTTACAGAGAAACATCGGATTGAGTTTTTTTTGTGTCCGTTTATTTTAGGGGTTAGTTACTATTATATAGGGGTGGGGATTAGTTTAGGGGTATGGACCTAGGAATTATAGGTTTGGGATTACGGGCTAGGTTCAAAACTAGGCCTAAAAATGAGTTGCTCGACCCTAAGTTTTATTCTTTCCCCGCGAACGAGATTAAAATACAATCTCATTTATTAATTAGTCCTACTTAAGTAAAATAACTATTAAAATAAGACTAACCGTTAAAATAAACTTTTTTTTGGTATTTTTCAAGATTAAAAATGACTACAACACATTAATGAAACTATTTTTTTGTAATTTTTATTTTCTTGTAATAAAATAAAGTAAAAGAGTAAAAAAAATAATTGAAATAGCTATATTAGGCCTAATAAAATATTTATGTACTAAAATATAAAAAATCTTGGGGATGATCAAAAATCAAATGTCTATAGTCACAACGAGTGTAACTGTCCTTTGTGAGCATGAAGTGCCATACATACCTTTTTTTTTTAAAAAGGAGTGCTCTTTCTCTTTCTCCTCCCCTTTCCGTTCCACCATCTCCAGTTAATTGCTACCATACACTGAACCGACATTTATTTTTCAGGCAAACGCTGAAAATTAAAACTTCATAAAATTATAGAATATAACCAATAACTATATCAATAAAATAAAACCAAACATTGCAACATTTTTCAATATGAATTACCTAACAAAGCTAAAGAAAACCCAATAATATAAAAAAAAAAAAAAACTTAAAGAGCAAAATACATAGAACTAGAATTTCTCGTGGCGTAAAAGTGCTTGGGAATCACCTCCAGAATTCTTCCAGCAATATGAAAAGATATGTTGTTTCCTTCATGGAGGAGAAAACATTAACAGAATGGAGCCGATTACTTCCTTGAGTTCTTGTTGTTCATGGTGCTTCACTATAGAAGGGTCTATGGAGAAGATCAGGGGCGGGTGCGGTGGAGGACGGTGTAGGGGGATTTGGCCGGCAAGGGTTGTGGTTGTGACTTGTGTGATTGAGAGATTGGAACTTTTTCCTCAATGGAAGACAGAGGCTTTTTCCTTCAATTTTTTACCTTTTTTGTTTTCCTTTGCTGACTTGTTTTTGTCTTATTGACCTTATCTGACAGGTCAACGGAGAGTAAAATTCACGCACTTAACCTTGTTTGGAGTTGTCATATTTCTGTTTAATAGGCGTACTTGGGAGGGAGTTCAAATGCCTTACAGGAACAAGCCTAAATTTAAGTGTCAAAATGAAAAGCGTAAGTGAGAGAGCGAAAAGCGGTGCCAAATTTAGATGTCTGCTTATGTATTAGGCCTTTTGTAAAGTACAAAGTGGAAATCTTGGGCCTAACCAGCCCAAAAAAAACCTTAAATAATTAATAAATTTTTTACCTCTTATAGCAAAGCTTAATACCTTATTTATTTTAAATAAATATCATTTTAAAAAATTATATTCTATAGATACATTTTAATGTTTATAGCAAAATATTAAATTTTGGGTACCTCCTACTTCTAAGCCACTAAATACTTTTTTTTTATTTTTCTCTCCTTTTTCAGATTTTTCTCTCACATAATTACCGTATTTCACATAAACACCCCCTCCATGTTCTTTCTCTCTCTAATTTGATACAAGTCATTCTCTTCCCCCATTCCCTGAAAATCCGATGAGAGTATCATCAAATTTCCTCTCGCCCACATCGCCTACTTCTTCCCCATTCTCAGTCTTCTCCCTAATTTTAAAAACGACAGCTGCATTGTATCTCTCAATTGTCAATTTTTTTTGCTAAACTTGGTTGTCATAAGTATTTAAGTTGTTAAAATTTCGCTATTTTTGTGTATTGAATTCTCAGTATTCACACTTATTATCTCTACTCACCATTGTTATTGTATTCATCAGAAAAAATGAGATTTTGTTCCCCAATATCTGATTCAACATCCCACAAGAAGGTTACCAATGGTATACCCACCAAAGTACTCAATTTTGATGGGCCCTCTTTCTCTTTGCAAATCACTCAAGCGAAATTGGAATTTGCAGGTTCAGCAGCAAAAATGGCAGCGGAGAACAAAACAAAATTACGTAATGACTCTTTGAAACAAGCCAAATTTGAGAAATCATTGAAAGAAACAACACTTCCCTGTTGTGGAAAACAGGAAAAAACATTTGGCTGACGCTTCCTGTCTTAAGGGAAAGGGGGTCGTTGCAAGTAAAAGCTTGGATACACAGGAAGAAAAGATAATGTTCGATGTATTCCTCTGTATTTGAGTCTTCATACACTTATTATTACCTTCTCCAATGGGGTTTTAATGTTGTATCTTATTGTATATATATTTGCGCAATAGTTGATACATAGCTTCCTCGTGTTATTTGTTGATTTGAGTTATATGTATGTTGATGTATTCAGTAGTATTCAAAAATTCCATCAATGATTTTGTACTTATTGGATAGTATTTTGCATATGTTTATGTAAATGTATTTATATGTATACAAATTTGGGCTTCACTGATTTAGTATGTTGCATAATTTGTACTTACTACACTGACCTTTTCATGTTGTATTTAGTTGTATTAATAAGGATTTCTAAAGTTCCCTTCACTGTTTTATATTAATTGCAATGTCTTTTATTGTTGTATTTGGATGTTACATATATATACATCTATTTCTATCACTGATTCCTTACTCCAGTGTATTATGTATTAGTTCACTATTTTGTACTAATTGCAGTGACTTTTATTGTTGTATGTGGATGTATTATATATACACATAAGTTTATATCACTGATTTCTTGATCCAGTGTATGTTGCATATTGTATTTAGTTGTATTTATATGTATTCAGAATAACTATACTATGAAATATGTATTGATTTTGACATCTGAAATCTTTTTGTAATGCTTGTTGTATGTAGTAAATTAAGCTATTTGTGAAACAACAGCCTATTTTTTCACCGCATATCAGTTCATATACTAATACAAATATCACTACAAGAAAGTATAGAATTGGCAACAATTTTTTTGTAACAACAATAATATTGTTGCAAAATACAATAAATGACAACAATTTTATTTAGTTGTTGCGATATCACAGAATATTTACCCACAATTTTTTTTTGTTAGCAAAAGTTTTAATATTTTTGCCATATTTAACAAATAATATGATAAATTTAAATAAATATAAATTAGTAACGATTGTTTACCAACAATACTGTAGTTGTTGGCTAAGTTTAATAAATAGCAACAGCGTAATTAGATTGTTGTTATATCATAGAATTTTTAACAACAAGTATTTTCTTGTTACCAAATTTTTTAGATTGTCGTTGCTATATGTTAGGAGTAATACAATAAATTTTAGTTTCTATTGCAGCTAGGTTTTCTCTTTTCTTATTAGGCTAAACTAAGTTCTTGCGTGTATTCGATTATCGCTGTGTTCTACCCAAAATCTGGTGAGTTCTCGATTTTGATTTCGTTTTTAATGTTTGGTGCTTTCTGCTTTTGATTTAGCTTAATCGTATTCTTCTTCTTAGATTTTCTCATTTCAGTTATTGTGCTAAACTTAATAGGGTTTCTTCTTAATTCTTAATCATATTCTGCTTTTGATCTCTATTCCGTTTTTTTCTTTTTATGATGCAATTCAAAATTTTTGGACTAGAAAATAACTGATTTTTTATTGGGTGTTATGGTTATTTGGATTTGGTTTTGGCATTATTAATTTTAAGCATTATCTTTGATTATATTTTTTTTGCCTAGAAGGTACGAAAGTACTGTTGTAAAACTCCAAAGTTTTGGAATAGAAAACAATATGATTTTGTTTTGGGTTGTATGGGTAGTTGAATCTGGTTTTGGCATATTTGAGCATTGTCCTTGATTTTTCTTTTCACTTAGAAGGTCCTTCAAATGTGAAAATTCAATAGTAAATATGATTAGGAAATCCCACATAAACTTGTCATCAAGTAACTCAAATTACCATGCCTAATGGAATCACTTTAAAATTTTTAGATAATCAGACATGCCTTGCTTAAAATAGAAACTATTTATTCTCCTTAGTTTTAGTTTTCAAAGCTAAAATCTAGAGCTTCTTTACTTTTAGTAGTAGCAGATGCATTGTCTATTTTTTAGGAACTTTAGATTCTTTTTTTTTCACTTGCTATCTTTTTTTCTTGTTACTTTTTCAAGATGCTACTCATCTTCCTTTGCTTCAGTGGCTATTAGTTCAAATTATATGTTTTATTTTAACTATTTTCTATTATAGAGTCTTCTCTAACTTCTGTTTTAGACAATAAAATTGAGAGAAACTTAATTATATAGTTTTATATTTCTTCGTTTTATACTATTTCATTATAGGTAAGTATATGATGGAGTGAACATTGAAGCACATCCTCTTATTAATGAGGAAGAAGTAGATTTAGAAATTGGGGATGAATCTGATCATAAAAATGGGGATGACTTTAGTAATTTTGCAACAGATAAAGAATGTGTTTCTGAGGAAGAATATAATGAAAATGAGGATGATGATTGGTTGTGATCTTCATCTAGTCTTCAAGACAACTTTGCTTATTTCAATCGCTTTCTTCACATGACTTTTGTTTCTCATTATTTCTGAACATATCTTACCTTTTTCTTATCATTTTACTGCCTTCACTTCCACTTTGACTAATGTTCAATAATATAATTTTTTTTAAAAATATGTTACAGCCTATCATGACAACAAATGTGCATGTTTCTAGTAATACTGAACCTGCTGCTGATGTAGTTTCAAATTCACAGTCAGGTAAGTTATTTCATTTATTAAAATTCTAGCCTTTTAAAATCCCTAGCACATTCCCTATGTCAATGA